GGGGTGGCGGAGGCGCCATGCAGAACAGGCAGAGGGGGCCGGCCACTCCCACCTGCGGCAAACCCGAGAGGGGCACAGGAATCAGGCGAGGGGGAGCGGACACAGCTGCTCTCCCTTGGGTCAGAGTGTCCCTGTGGCAGGGTCTGGAGATTTTCACACCCAGCGCTCCAGCGCCAGTCCGGATCTGGGCTGTGCGGTTGCAAGATCTCAGTGTCTGGTGGCTGCTCTGGTCCGGTGGCCGCGCCCACCAGATGGTGGTTCTCAGAGGACCCAGGCCACAAAGCCCAGCCTGGTAATGGGCTCTTACTGGCAGCCAGGGCAGCGGTGCCACGGGAGGTTGGGGTGCAGTGGCAGACCCCTATGAGGAGCAGGCACTGCCACTGCCCGCGCTGCAGCTGGGGGGTCAGTCTGGCACCTCCCCCCATCACTACGAGGCTGCCTGGCTGGGAAAGCTTTTGTGTGTCATCGTGCGGAATGGGAGCAGCCCCAGGGCTGTTCTGAAGGCAAGTTCCTCTCCCGCTTGCCTGGGAACACTGCTGTCACGGGTTCATGTTTCCTGGACGCAGGCCCTCTGCACAGACACGGTCACACAAGCAGCACCTGAACCACAGGGAGCTGGAGCCCAGAGGCTGGCCAGGGGAGGGACCCACTCACCGCCAGGAGGGGAGCCCTAGGGCCAGCTCTACCCCTTCCTAGAGTTTAGGCATCGGTTGCCACTTGCTTATGCCGCCATGTGATTCCGGACGGATGGACAGCGGCTGCGGTGGCGGCATTTGGCTTGGAGCCTTTTCGGAGGGGAGCGGGAACTCGAGGCACCCGAGGGCTTTGGCAAACGTGGCGGTGTGTGTGTTAGAGCCCCACGCACTGGAGGGGCTCGCTGTTCCTCTTGTGTGCAAACATAAACAGCTGGCCCTGTTTTTCAGTGGTTTAACCTGTTCAGGCCACACAGTGAGTTTGAGGCAGCATGAGGGACGGAGAGGAGGGCTGCTGGCTCCCAGTTCCTTGCTGGGAGCATTGGCGCACACAGCCACCTCTTTGCATTTCTGTTCTGTTTGCTTAATAGCCTTTGAAGCTCTCTCAGCGGGATGAGAGGCCCTGGGGGGGAAGTGCCAGCTCTGATTAGAAAAGCCTGTGGAACTGCAAACGGAGGTGCCCATCTTCGGGGATTACTCCTTGGTTTGGAGGCGAAATGCAGGAATAGCGTTGTAGAAGACAAGGAGGGAACTAGAACACGTGGAACGTCTTCCCAGAGATTCTTGGATTCAGACTTCTAACCCTCTGGTCATTGGAAGAAGTGGGCCGTGCCCACGAAAGCTCATGATCCCACCTCCATGTTTTGTTGGTCTCTAAGGGTACGTCTAGATGACAAGCCTCTTTCGAAAGAGAGCGTCTAGACTGCAAGCAGAGTCTTCTAAAAAGCGAGGCGCTTTGTCGAAAGGGAGTCTGGACGCTCTCTTTCGAAAAAGTACAGTTTGCATTCAATAGCGCCTTTTTTCAAAAGAGTAATTGTGAATAAAGGCGTCATTCCTCATAAAATGGAGTTTACGACTGGGCAACATGACAGCATAGAGGAACATCCCTCTCTTCCCCAACTTCCAATCAAAATATATCCTGACGCATCAGGATTGAGACCTGTTGCCATTTCTTACTGGAGATGATCCTCTTATTCACAAGAATAAAATCTAGTTGTGAATCATACTGAGAACATGCAAGTGGCCGTACTGGGTCAGAACAAAGGTCCATCTAGCGCAATGTCCTGTCTTCAGTGGCTAATGCCTGGTGCCCCAGAGGGAATGAACAGAACAAGTGATCATCATGTGACCTATTCCCAGCTCCTGGCAGAAGTTTAGGGACATCCAGAGGAAGGAGTTGCATCCCTGACCATCCTGACTAATGAACCTATCTGGCAGGAACTTACTTCTCTTTTGAATCCAGTTAGGCTGGGTCTACATTGGTGTGATCTTGTGCAAAAGCGGCCACTTTTGCGCAAAAACATGCTGCCTGCCTACACTGGCGGGGAGTTCTAGTGCAAGAACACTGACATTCTAATGTATGAAATCAGTGCTTCTTGCGCAAAAACTATGATGCTCTCAGTTGCTTTTGCGGAAAAACTTGCCAGCTGTCTACACTGGCCGCTTGAATTTCCGCAAGAACCCTGATGATCTCATGTAAGATTGTCAGTGTTCTTGTGGAAATGCTATGCTGCTCCCATTTGGGCAAAAGCCCTCTTGCGCAAATGCTTTTGCACAAGAGAGCCAGTGTAGACGCGGTATTGTTTTGTGCAAAAAAGCCCCAATCGCAAAAATGGCGATCGGGGCTTTCTTGCGCAAAACCGTGCTTTGGTGGAAAAGCATCTGTGCCAATCTAGACGCTCTTTTCCACAAATGCTTTTAACGGAAAAACGTTTCCGTTAAAAGCATTTGCGGAAAATCATGCCAGTCTAGACATAGCCTATTTGCACAAGATTATGCCAACGTAGAAGTAGCCTTACAGTTTTGGCCTTCAGAACTTCTCCTACCACATAACGAGCATGTGAAGGCACTCAGATGCCTATTCCCTTGCTCTGGTCTGCAGACACACTTGCACCAAAATAACTAAACTAAAGTAACTTCATTCATTTCTTTTGTTGTTTTGGGGCAGGTTTCTTTAGCATTGATTCCTTGTACTCTGTATCCACTAATTCTTCTTCTTGCCAGACTAAGGGTACGTCTACACTACAACATTAATTCGAACTAAGCTAATTCGAACTAACGGATCCAGACTAAAAAACTAGTTCGAATTAGCGTTTTGCTAATTCAAACTAGCATGTCCACATTAAGTGGACCCTGAAGCGGGGTTAAGGCTGACCGGAAGCAGTGCCGGCAGGGCATCAGAGGGGGACTTAGAGCATGGAGATGCTGTCTCAGACTAGCCGAGGGCTGTGCTTAAAGGGTCCCGACCCCCACCCCGGACAGACAGTTCTCAGGGGTTCCCCGCTTGCAAAGCAGTCCTGGCTTGGAGTGCCCTGAGTGCCCACACTGGGCACATCACAGCACTTGGCCATCAGCCCGGCTGCACTTGCCGCAGGCTGCCATCTGGGGAGAGGGGGCAATCGGGGGGCTGCAGGAGAGCTTCCACCCCCAAAAGCCTGCAGAGCCAGCCCAGTCCTCCCCATCGGGGGCTTGTGCCCCATTCCTCCCTCACCTCCTTCCACTTACCCTTCCCTAGCCCCTCTTCTTGATGTACAAAATAAAGATAACGTGTCTTCCAAAATGGAATCTGTCTTTATTGAAAAAAACTGGGGGAGACTGGGAAAAGGAGGTGGGAGAGGGGAAGAGAGAGGCTGGGAGAGGGGAGGGCAACTAAAATGATCAGGGGTTGGGAACAGGTCCCATATGAAGAGAGGCTAAAGAGACTGGGACTTTTCAGCTTAGAAAAGAGGAGACGGAGGGGGGACAGGATAGAGGTCTCTAAAAGCAGGAGTTGGGTGGAGAGGGTGCATACAGAAAAGTTCTTCCTGAGTTCCCATAAAGAAGGACTAGAGGACACCAAAGGAAAGGAATGGGTAGCAGGCTTCAAACTAGTAAGAGAAAGTTGTTCTTCCCAAAGCAAAGAGTCAACCTGTGGAACTCCTTGCTGCAGGAGGCTGTGAAGGCTACAACTGGAACAGAGTTTAAAGGGAAGTGAGATCAAGTCATGGAGGTTGGGTCCATGGAGTGGTATTAGCCAGGGGGTAGGAGTGGTGTCCCTGCCCAAGGTTTGTGGAAGGCTGGAGAGGGATGGCACGAGACAAATGGCTTGGTCACTGTCTTCGGTCCATCCCCACCAGGGTCCCTAGGGTTGGCCGCTGTCGGCAGACAGGCTACTGGGCTAGATGGACCTTTGGTCTGACCCAGGACGGCCATTGTAAGCTCAGGGCTCAGGGTCGGGGGGCTCATTGGACCCCGTTGATTCTCTTGCACACCTGCTCCTGGGTGGCCAGGCTGGCAGCTCTCCTGCCCAAGCCGGCCACTTTCCTGTGCCTAGTGCGGAGATCGTGGACGAGGTCCATGATGTCCGCACTAACCCAAGCGGG